TGATACATCTTTGTAATAATTTGATTGTAAATCTGCTCTATTTCTTTCTGCTTGTGCTCATACTCTTCCTTCTCACCAAGCTGATTTGAATCTAGCCACTTTATTGCATCATTGCAAGCTTCCAGAATCTTGTTACGGTCCTCTTCAGAAACCTTATCCTTGAATTTTTCTTCTTTCACAGCAGACTTCATGTAAAACAGTAAGATTCCAGCGAGTTCTCGGCAGAAATACGATCCCTCTGTTTCTCATCTTCAGCTTTGTATTTTTCAGCATCTTGCACCTATGCGATTAATTTCTTCTTTGCTAAGACGGCCCTTGTCGTTGGTAATAGTTATCTTGTTTTCCTTGCCAGTGCTCTTGTCTACAGCAGATACATTCAAAATACCATTAACATCAATATCAAAAGTAACTTCAATCTGAGGTACACCTCGAGGTGCTGGAGGTATGCCAGTCAGTTCAAATTTCCCAAGAAGGTTGTTATCCTTGGTCATTGCACGTTCTCCTTCGTATACCTGAATGAGCACACCTGGTTGGTTGTCTGAGTAAGTGGTGAAAGTCTGAGTCTGCTTGGTTGGAATGGTTGTGTTACGCTTTACTAGAGCAGTCATTACTCCTGAATGAATGGATGGAGTCTCCTTCATTGACATGAAATTTAGAGCAACCATCACTCCTTCGGCTGTCTCGATACCCAAAGAAAGTGGAGTTACATCAAGTAGAAGCAAGTCCTGCACAGCTTCAGATTTGTCACCACACAAAATAGCAGCTAGAACAGCTGCGCCGTATGCCACCGCTTCATCAGGATTAATAGATTTGTTCAGTTCCTTTCCATTGAAGAAGTCCTGCAAGAGCTTCTGAATTTTGGGAATACGAGTAGATCCTCCCACAAGAACAATGTCTTGAATCTGAGATTTGTCCATCTTTGCATCACGAAGAGCTTTTTCAACGGGCTCCAGAGTTCCTCGGAACAAGTCTGCACACAGCTCTTCAAAACGAGTACGTGTAATCGAAGTGTAAAAGTCTATATCCTCAAATAAGTTGTCTATTTTTATACTGGCCTGAGTTGAAGAGGACAGAGTGCGTTTCGCACATTCACAAGCAGTATGAAGTCTATAAACGGCACGCTTGTTTTTTGATGGGTCCTTCTTGTACTTTCTCTTAAACTCTTGAATGAAGTGAGTCACCATACGATTGTCGAAGTCTTCACCACCCAAGTGAGTGTCACCTGCAGTAGACTTTACTTCAAAAATACCATCCTCGATGGTAACAATGGACACATCAAAATTACCACCACCAAGATCGAAAATCAGTACATTTCTCTCACCACTTACTTTCTTGTCAAGCCCATAAGCAATGGCAGCAGCAGTGGGTTCATTAATGATACGCAGTACATTTAGACCAGATATTGTGCCAGCATCTTTGGTAGCCTGACGTTGAGAATCATTAAAATATGTTGGGACTGTAATTACCGCATCTTTCACTGTAGCTCCTAGGTATACTTCTGCAGTTTCCTTCATTTTTATTAGCACCATCGAGGAAATTTCTTCAGGATAAAATGTTTTCTTATCACCTTTGTACTCTACCTGAATCTTTGGCTTAGTGTTCTCATTTATGACAGTGAAAGGCCAGTGTTTCATATCAGCCTGGACATTGTGATCATCAAACTTTCTGCCAATCAGCCTCTTTGCATCAAAAACAGTGTTGTTGGGGTTCATAGCCACCTGGTTCTTTGCAGCATCCCCAATAAGGCGTTCAGTATCTGTGAAGGCCACGTACGAAGGTGTCGTCCTGTTGCCCTGGTCGTTTGCGATGATTTCAACCTTTCCATGTTGGATTACACCTACGCAGGAATAGGTAGTTCCCAAATCAATACCCACTGATCTTGCCTTAGCCATTGTTTTGGTTCTGAAAAAAAAAACGTAAATTATACTTATTTTACATTTAATTTCTTTGATCACGATTATTTGGTGTTCAGCCTTTGATATCTAATATTATTTTATATTTTTTATTTACACATGGGCCGTTTCCCACCAAGGCAGGGTGGCCCGAAAAAAAAACTTCCTTCATTCGCTTGATCACTGTCTCTATTACGCTACAGTTGCAAAACTACAACATTAACACCATCTTTCAGAGTGTACTCACTACGAAAGCAAAAGACTTGGCAGACGATGCACCATCCCCCCAATGAAAAGCAGGGGTGTCACTAGCACGTTAAGAGACCATACAATAAGTGTCAGGGGCCCGAGACTGTTCAACTGCCTCCCAGCATACATAAGGGGGATTACCAACAGACCCCTGGCAGTCTTCAAGCTGGCACTGGACAAGCACCTAAAGTCAGTTCCTGATCAGCCGGGCTGTGGCTCGTACGTTGGTTTGCGTGCAGCCAGCAGCAACAGCCTGGTTGATCAGGCTCTGATCCACCAGGAGGCCTGGTCACAGACCGGGCCGCGGGGGCGTTGACCCCCGGAACTCTCTCCAGGTAAACTCCAGGTAGGTACAGTACTTCCCACCTCCAGAGTTCGGCTAGCCGGTTTCCCTGAATCCCTTCATAAATGGTCCCCTCAAGGAAGGTTCCTTGATGTTGGTGAGGGGCTCTTGATTTAGGGAATTGGATCTGTGCTCCAGTTCCTCGAATTAAGCCTGAATGCCTTCCACATCCCCCCCCCAGGCGCTGTATAATCCTCTAGGTTTAGTGCTTCCCCCTTGATTATAATAATAATAATAATTCATAAATGGTATCTTGCTAACACTCCAAAAGCATGTCAAATCATAAAAACCATTTGCTTCCGCTCTCCACTCCACTCAGGAGTGGAATGTGCATACATATAGAAATTGCTAGTGTAACTCTAAGCATTATATAAGTTAGATATTTTTAGTTTTAAACAAAAGTCCTTTAAGCATTATTTATTTCCTCCTCGTATCTAACATAGAGATGTGAGCCACAGCACCGTGTCCTCCTTTGCTGACGATACCAGAATTTGCATGATAGTGTCATCCACTGAGGATACTGCAAATCTCCAAGCGGACATTAACCAAGTCTTCAAATGGGCCTACCTGGAGTTTACCTGGAAGGTATTCCGGGGATCAGCGCCCCCGCCTGCCAAGTCTTTTACTTCCGTAGGGAGTGATTTCTGTATCCAGATTCGGGACCATCCCTTCTAGGATTTTCCAAGTGTAGATTATGATATATCTGTCTCGTCTGCGTTGCAGTGTGTACAAGTCAAGTGCTTCCAAGCGTTCCCAGTAGTTGAGGTGTGTGATGGAACTTATATGTGCAGTAAAGGTTCTCTGTACACTCTCTAGATCTGCAATTTCACCTGCTTTGAACGGAGATGTTATTGTACAAGTGATTTGAAATGGATCATTGGCTTCGCTTCTCTTATTTTGAACGTTCTCATCATTCATCCTATAATTTTCTTTGCAGTTGTGATCGTGGCAGTGTTGTGATCCTTGAAAGTGAGATCCTCAGACATTACCACTCCCAGGTCCCTCACATTATTTTTCTGCTCTATTGCATGATCAGAGTTTGTAGTATATGAAGTTCAGTGACGACAAATTTCAATTACTCCGCTATGGAAAACTTGCGGAAATAAAAACTGGATCGGAGAATAAAACAAATTCCAACCACACAATAGAGTGAAAAACAAATGTAAAGGACCTGGGAGTGATAATGTAAGAGAATCTCACTTTCAAAGATCACAACAATGTACCACATCTGCTAGGAAAATAACAGGATGCATAATGAGAACCTTCAAATCTAGAGATGCCAAGCCAATGATAATTCTCTTTAAATCACTTGTTCTCTCTAGGCTGGAGTATTGCTGTACACTAACGGCCCTTTTCAAGGCAGGCGAAACTGCAGACCTGGAGAATATACAGAGAACTTTCACTGCACGTATAAGTACAATAAAGCACCTCAGTTACTGGGAACAGTTAAAGCCCCTTCACCTGTACTCCCTGAAACACAGGCGAGAAAGATACATGATAATATACACTTGGAAAATCCTAAAGGGACTCATCCTAAATCTGCTCACGGAAATCACATTCCCCTCAAGGAAGGTTCCTTGATGTTGGTGAGGGGCTCTTGATTTAGGGAAGTGGATCTGTGCTCCAGTTCCCCGAATTAAGCCTGAATGCCTTCCACATCCCCCCCCAGGCGCTGTATAATCCTCCGGGTTTAGCGCTTCCCCCTTGATTATAATAATAATAATAATAATAATCACGGAAATCACTATACGAAAGCAAAAGACGGCAGGCGGTACAACATTCCCCAATGACAAGCAGGGACGCCATGAGTACACTGAGATACACTCCAATAAGTGTCAGGGACCCAAGATTGTTCAACTGTCTCCCAGCACACATAAGGGGGATTACCAATAGACTTCTGATCGTCTTCAAGAAAACGTTGGATAGGCACCTAAAGTCAGTACCTGATCAGTCAGGCTGTGGTTTGTACGTCGGTTTACGTGCGCCCAGTAGTAACAACCTCGTTGATCAGGCCATGATCCACCACAAAGCCTAGTCACAGACCGGTCCTTGTTATCTCAAGATAACAAGGACCCTAATGGAAATAAGTCACATTAGGTTAGGTAAGGGTCTTAGACGATGACCCGCCGTTGGAGCTTTTGGTCATCTGACCGAGGCCTTCCGCTGGCTTACCGATCCACCCCTTTAAAAATTATGGTCAATTATAACCATTTAGATAAATTTTTATGTCACATTGTCTGACGTTCTTGAGTTATACTAGGTAATCTACACATATGCTGCTATATATGACAATTTATGTAACTCTATTTATGTGTACCTGTACCTGAATAATCTTACTTAAAATAATAATAATAATAATAATAATAATAATAATAATAATAATAATAATAATAATAATAATAATATAATAATAATAATAATAATAATAATAATAATAATAATAATAATAATAATAATAATAATAATAATCCTGCTGACGCCAAGGAAATCCCCGCCTCATCCTCTGTGACGTCACTCAGTTATCTCCCGCTGATGCTGAGTAAGAAGTGTCGACTAACTTGGTGAAGTCGGGACATTATTGGGAACTTCAAGTGATGACTTCAGTGATAACTTCAGGGTATTTGGGCAGGTTATCATGGTGCTGGCGTGGGTTGAGGAGTATGAGGGCGCTGCAACACCGCCATCATGGCTCATACTACCCCATTGATGACGTAGTCTCCGGTCTCAACGACCAGCAGATACAGGTATACCACTAGACAGGTATACCCCCAATCTAAGGCAGGTATACCCCCAATCTAAGGCAGGTATACCCCCAATCTAAGGCAGGTATACCCCCAATCTAAGGCAGGTATACCCCCAATCTAAGGCAGGTATACCCCAACTAAGGCAGGTATACCCCCAATCTAAGGCAGGTATACCCCCGATCTAAGGGGGTATGCCTCCGACCTAAGGCAGGTATACCCCTGATTTAAGGCGGGTATACCCTGGACCTAAGGCAGATATACCCCAGACCTAAGACAGGTATACCCCGGACCTAAGGCAGGTATACCCCAGAGACCTAAGGCAGGTATACCTCCGACCTAAGATAGGCATACCCCAGATCTGAGATAGGTATACCCTGATCTGAGACAGGTATTCCTCAGTGTGCCCTCAGTACCACTGAACAAATTTACACAATAAAATATTTTGCCATTATTTTCTGAATCAAGATAAAACCTTCCTAATGTTTCTACACTTTGGTAATTATATACAATTTGGCTTTAGTTTTAAATTGGTATCCCCTCAAGGAAGGTTCCTTGATGTTGTGAGGGGCTCTTGATTTAGGGAATTGGATCTGTGCTCCAGTTCCCTGAATTAAGCCTGAATGCCTTCCACATCCCCCCCCCAGGCGCTGTATAATCCTCCGGGTTTAGCGCTTCCCTCTTGATTATAATAATAATAATTTAAATTGGTATATATGTACTATGACTGAACTTGCTTTAAGTACCCTAGCTGTATAGCCCTTGTGGTTTAGCGCTTCTTTTTTATTATAATAATAATTTAGTACCCTGCAGTATTTAAATATTTTGTACAGTGCTATCTGTATAGAGGGTATTTTATGCCTATCTGTATGTAGTTACTACTAGACTATGATCTTCACTTCCCATTGTACAATACTGACTTTCAGAATTTGAGGTAAGATAGTTTTTAGAGTTTGAGGTAAGATAGTTTTTAGAATTTGAGGTAAGATATTTTTTAGAATTTGAGGTAAGATAGTTTTTAGAATTTGATGTAAGATAGTTTTTAGAATTTGAGGTAAGATAGTTTTTAGAATTTGAGGTAAGATAGTTTTTAGAATTGAGGTAAGATAGTTTTTAGAATTTGAGGTAAGATAGTTTTTAGAGTTTGAGGTAAGATAGTTTTTAGAATTTGAGGTAAGATAGTTTTTAGAATTTGAGGTAAGATATTTTTTAGAATTTGAGGTAAGATATTTTTTAGAATTTGAGGTAAGATAGTTTTTAGAATTTGAGGTAAGATAGTTTTTAGAATTTGAGGTAAGATAGTTTTTAGAATTTGAGGTAAGATAGTTTTTAGAGTTTGAGGTAAGATATTTTTAGAGTTTGAGGTAGATAGTTCAGATTGAGTAATTTTTTAGAATTTGAGGTAAGATAGTTTTTAGAATTTGAGGTAAGATAATTTTCAGAATTTGAGGTAAGATAATTTTCAGAATTTGAGGTAAGATAATTTTCAGAATTTGAGGTAAGATAGTTTTTAGAGTTTGAGGTAAGATAGTTTTCAGAATTTGAGGTAAGATAGTTTTCAGAATTTGAGGTAAGATAGTTTTCAGAATTTGAGGTAAGATAGTTTTCAGAATTTGGTAGAAGTTTTCAGAATTTTATGAGTTAATGATATTGGTAGGTTCTGATTTAGGAATGGATAGTTTTCCCCGAATTTAGGTAAGACATCAACTATTAACCCCGTTTTTTTTGATTAACATAAATATCCTGCCTATATATTTACTTTTGCCCTTGTGCTAGCTAAGTTTATTATATTCCTGATAACATGCAGCTTTTTCAGTTTTATTAGAGCAGAATTCCATGATGAACGGCAGTATCTAGTCTATCAGTCATTAGTGAAAAAAAGGGCAGGCATAGGTTCTTATATGCCTTAGAAGATAAATGCTGTGCCTGTCTATAGAAAAACTTTATCCTGTCACTTCTGCACTGTATGATCCTTGTAGGTTTAGTGCTTCTTTTGAGTATAATAATAATATCCTGTCATTTGATTTTTAAACACATTCTCAGTCAGTTCACCTGATAGGCAGGACTCAGGGATATTCCTAGATACATATTTCATTGATGTTACCATTGAGATAGGCTTCTCATAACAAATTACAGCTAAATGACTACTGTTTTTGTTGTCTGTCTGTATTATTTACAGAACACTAGGTTTACATGCATGCAGTAGAGTTTATAGACTAACATATTTTCATAACACAAGTCAAGCAAAAACTTTTCTCAGCAACACAAGGAATTTATCACTATTCAGCTAAGTAAGTAAGTTTATTCAGGTATACACAAATACAGTTACATTGATTATCATACATAGCAGCATATGTGTTAAGAACCTAGGATAACTCAAAAAAGTCAGACAGAGTGACTTATTTCCATCGGGGTCTTTGGGCTACATTTGATCCCTGAGTGAAACACTGTGATGACCTCCTAGAATCTATAAATTCAAACGTCTCTCTCTTATTATACTTAATGAAACCTAACTTGAACATGACAACAGGCATCTTTACTTTACATGGGTACAGAGCCATTCACAACTGCTGACCTGATCATAAGGGGGGAGGGATTGCCATCTGCTACTCTAGTGGACTAATATGCAGTAACTGCATGTATTAGTGATGAATATGGTGAATATATATTTGCTAACCATTCAACAGAAACCTAAAGTATCCCATTGCAGTTGAAGTAGTCTACAGGCTACCTCATAATATCCCAACCTTTAGTGAGAACCTAAAGAACCTTATAACTAACAAACAATTAAAAAAACATTACCTGATACTTGCTGGTGACTTCAACATTAACCTTGGCCATGCTGAGGACCTGCAAGCAACTGACTTCATTAACAGTATGAATTATTCTTTAATAATACCAGTTATAACTAAACCACCAAGAATAACCAAGATGAGTCGACCACAGTTGACCGTATCTGGACCAATGTATTAGCTCCTCTCAAAGCAGGGATAATCACAGACAGTACTTCTGATCAGTACCCCTGCCTTCTTTATAACTAGCATGTGTACACTATCACTCAAAATTAGTAGGATATAATTTTGTCTCCATGATAATACATCATTAAATAAATTCACTACAGTAGTAAGTTATATTGACTGGCACACAAAGTTTACTGACGACAGAGGCGATGACAAACAGGTCAAAAAAAATTTTGCAAAAATTAGTCTTTACAATAGATATTGTACTACTAAAACTAAATATCACAGCAATGAGACTAGGTAACCCATGGCTAACAAATAGCATCCTTAGGACCATTAATAAGAAATATATTTATGAAAAACAATGTAGATTGGGCTTAATAACCAAAGAACAAACCAATAAACTAAACATCAACATACTTGCCAAACTAATAAGGAAGTCTGAACTGTATTATGCTAGCAGGTTCAGTGAAATAAGAAATGATATGAAAAACACCTGGAACTCATACTCAAAACCAGAGATAATGTTTTAACCAAACCCAATGAATAACATCTCCAGCCTGTAGAAACAGCCAATAAGTTAAACGATTTCTTCTCTACCATAGGATCAAGTCTAGCAAAATTTCAAGTAATAATACTGTAGTGAGTGACTATACTTTGTTCGAAGTATCCCAAGCTCCCTCCATCTGGCTCCAACTAATCCTACCGAGGTCACTTTGACAATAAACTCACACAAAAAAAGTCAGGAAACTTATGTTAAGTACCACCACTATTTTTCAAAATAGCAGTTCATGTGCGTTCACCCACCATTACAGTACAGCCTCTCCTCACTTAACGATGGAGTTCCATTCCTAAGACTGTCGTTCAACAAATTTGTTGCTAAGTGAGGAGCATACTATAGTAGTAGTGGGTTTGTGTCGGCCATCTTTGATATTGTTTTAATGTCACCTTTGCACCATTTATAACATTTCTGGTATATTTTTAAATGTTTATACAGTAGTGTACTGTATACATATTGTAATAAACAGAATAGAGGAAATCAGCTCTAATATACATTTATTTAGGTATAAATACTGGTCAGAGAGCCCTTCATAAGTCCAAGGCTTACGTGAGGAGAGGCTGTATTGTTCAATAAATCATTAGAAACCAACACTTTCCCAACAGTATTTCAGATAGCAAGGGTTACCCCAAGGTGACTCGGTAGACAACGCTCTCGCCTCACACAGTGAGTATCCATAGCTCAATCCCCGGTATGGGTGGAAATGCTCAGCATGTTTCTTTACACCTGCTGTCCCTGTTCACCTACCAGTAATTAGGTATCTGGGTGTTAGTTGACTGGTGTGGGTTGAATCCTGGAAGACAAGACCACACTGGAAATAAGATAAATACAGTCCTTGATGATGCACTGACTTACTTGGGTTACCTGGTTGCCTAACCCTCTGAGTTAAGAATCTGCACAAATCTTATCTTACCTAATCTACAGATATCAGTGTCTCTTATCAAGATTACAAGTTTTACAACCTGCTCAACATGATCTGTCTAATACATGTCCCACACACGGCAGTATCCTCGGCCCTCTGCTGTTTCCACGTGTGTGTGGTGTAGGGGGGGGGAAATGAGTTTGAAAAATAGAATACTTTTCTTGTAGACTGGAAGAGTTTATTTTTCTGAATTCAGCAAACCTAGAATGGAATGTGATAAAAACTTCCTATTTGATGGTGTGTTGAAGTTGCATAAAAAAATTAGCACTTATTTGCAACACCCCTCAAGGGAAGTTCCTTGATGCTGGTGAGAGGCTCTTGATCTAGGGAATTGGATCTGTGTGCCATTTTCCCTGAATTGAGCCTGAATGCCTTTCACCCCCCCCCCCCCCCCCAGCTCTGTATAATCACTATGGGTCTAGTGTTCCCTCATGATGATAAATATCGGCAACAGCAGCGTAAAAGCACCTGTGATATTTCAGTTTTACAATTTATTAACTCCGAAATATGATTGTTTTTTGTTTATTTCATTGCTTTTAATGTTTAACACTGTGTACGCTTGTTTCTCATGATATTAGATGTGTTTAAAGGTGTTTTAGCACTTTAATCCTTTCAGGGTCCGTCCCGTAGATCTACGGCTTTACGTTCAGGGTCCAAACCGTAGATCTACGTCATGAGCTCAGCTCACTCTGATAAACTGTGAGTGGTACATTTGGACCTTGATATGAGAGAATACATCTATGTGGTATGTGTGCACCACATAAAACAAATCCTGCAGCACACTGTGTATGAGAGAAAAAAAACTGAGACCATGATTTTTCGATTAAAACAGCGACTTTGCAGTGTTTTTTCGTATGTTTTTATAGTTGTATTTGCGATTTCTTGGTCTCATTTGATAGAATGGAAGACATATTACAGAAATAGGAGATGATTTTGATTGGTTTTAGCACTGGAAATGGCTTGAAACTGAGCTCAAGGTAGCGGAAATGTTAAATTTTGATGTTCAAGAGTAAACAAACGATCTCACTCGTCTAATACACGCCAGCTGGTGGGTCTAATATACATTCACAAATGTGGTGATGATATTTATACAATTATTACAATATTGCATAACAGTAAATCTTCTATTTTTTGGTGTGAATAAAAATTCATTATGTGAATAAAAAATCAAAATGGAATCTTTTTGTAAAGCCTCAAAATGTAACTAATGAACAGAGGAAATGTTAGTTTAGTGCCAGGAATACCTACATTGTTTATTCTGGACCCTATTTTGAAATTGGAATATTTTGAACTTTGAGTTAAATTGGCCAAATTACCAACTTCCGATCACTTTATTTTGTAGTTGAAACAGTTGACTTGGCGATTTCTTGTGCTCAATCGATAGAAGTAATACTAGTGAAATTGTTAAGAATTTGGTCAACTGGAATAATGTAATGGCCTAAAATGGGAGCCAAAGTCGGCAAAATCGCCGATTCGTAAATATCGCTGACACATCAAAATTCGCGACAGCATAATTTCGTCAATTTTCCATCAAATTTCGTACTTTTTGTTTTATTACCTTCACAAAAAGATTCTCAAGCATTTCATAAGAAAAAATAGCTATTTTTTTTTTTTGAAAATCTTGGACACTGGGGCACCACTTCAGATTTTGGCCTTGGACCCTGAAGGGGTTAAACACAGGAAAATACTTAACCCAACATTGCTCCACTTAGAATACATGTACGTATATGGTATAATTTTTTTTATTGTTTTAAGGCTATGTACAAGGAATATGTACTTATATTACAATTGTTTCGTCGTGTAATACTACTCAAAACATGGAAATTATTCCCATTATTTGACTTTACTGGGTTATCATGGGTTAAGTACTGTATACTTACATGTGCTTTGCGGCTGAATTCCACCTGGAGTGTGTTCCAGGTGTCAACGCCCCTGCAGCCCAGTCTATGACCAGGCCTCGTAGTGAATCAGGATCTGATCAACTAAGCTGTTACTACTAGTTGTACACAATCCAACGTACAAACCACAGCCCGGCTGGTCTGGTACTGAATTTAGGTGCCTGTCCAGCTTCCTCTTGAAGACAGTTAGGTGTCTGTTGGTAATCCCTCTTAAGTATGATGGGAGGCAGCTGATCAGTCTTGGGCCTATGAAACTTATTGTGTAATCTCTTAGTGTACTCACAGCACCCCTGCTGTTCATTGGAGGATGTTTCACCACCTGTCAGTTTTTTTGCTTTTTTTAGAAGGGATTTCTGTGTGCAGATTTGGGACTAAGTCCCTCTGGTATTTTTCTTACCTGCATTCTAAGGAGTATAGGTCAAGGGACTTCAAACAGTCCCAGTAATTGAGGTGCTTGGCTGTACTACATTTATCTCCAGATTTTGAAAGGGCCGTAAGTGTACAGCAGCCTTCAGCCTCGAGAGAACAAATGATTTAAAGATAACCATCATTGGCTTGTCAGACCTAAAATTAAAGGCTCATTATTCATTCTTATCATTTTGCTAGAAGATGCGGTAATAACATTGGTGTGATCTTTGAAAGTGATATCCTCTGACATTATCACTTCCAAGTCTTTCATATTAGTGTTCCGCTTTATTATGTGGTTACAGTTTGTTTTCTGAGGCACATTTGAAGACTTGGTTTATATCCACTTGGAGATTTTGTGTCCTCAGTGGATAACACTTGTGCAAATTCTAGTATTGTCAGATATGAGGATGAGGAAAGGATGGGGGCGAGTACTGTAGCTTGGGGAACAGAGCTTTTTCACTTGCATGATAAGGGGCTTTCTGTAAAGTAGTTTATATATGTCGGTTATCCTAATTATATAATTTACTGTACTCCACTTTATAGAAATAAAGTTTGTTACTTTTGTTGACACCAGAATTTTTCTCAGGGGATTCCAGAAATTTGAAAATGTTCTGATTCAGAATTAGCAAAAAATATTTGTTTACCATTGTTTAGGCAAGACTATGCATGTAACTTCCTGTTTTTTTAACATGCCTTAACTTGTCTAATAAACTCAGGATAATTCGGTAAAGTCAAACACTGTGACTTATTTTTGTTGGTGTCCTTGATTCCATGAGGTAAAATTGAGGAGTTGCTGTAAGTTGAGGGTGGGAAAAATTATAATATTCCTGTTGTTGCTAGAGAAGAAAATTTCGTCCATTAAAACTCTCAACTTTGAAGTTTGCAGTAAGTAATGTTATGGATGCAGTTTTTAAGCATCCTCAAATGATGGAGACAGATGGTATGTAATTTATACTGACACAATGGAAAAAGAGAGCAAATGAAGTATAATGCAATCCTTTATTGACAAAGTTTTGCCCACACAGTGAGCTGCATCAAGTTAGAAACAGATCTGTTTGTGACTTTGCTGCATACTTTTCTCTATTTTATAATAGAGCTTCCCAATTTTTTATAGATATTTTACAATTTTTCTTTAAACCTTCTGCAGATGACAGAGGTTATATGGTATCATATACGTACCTATACCAATTTATCAATTAACTTATTTATCACTGCTTGTATGTATGTATAGAGTGCAGATATTTTTCTTTGACTTTTTTGTGTACAGTATATTAATGTACAGTACTATATTTTTCTAGTTGCGAAAGACTGTCTTCGACTTCTGCCAGAAAGAATTGGCACCTAAGGCAGCCGAAATTGACAAACGGAATGACTTCCCAGAATTACGGGTAAGATTCCACATTTGAAATAATACGGAATTTTGTTTAACTCTGTACTAAAGTGGTTTATGTGGTGACTTCTTTTCTGTCAGTAATTTTATGTTTATTGTATAAATTTGCTCTTATGTGATCACCCAAGCACAGCACCACTTGATTTTTTAATCTCATTAAATGTTGCTCTAAACTAATTAACATTGACCTGGATTAAGAGCTTCTCACCCCTCAAGGGGTGAGAAGCTCTTGATCCAGGGAAGTGGACCTATCCTTCCCTTCCTTGGATAGAGCCTGCTGGCCTCCCATTCTACATATGCTTTATGACCCCAATGGGTTTAGCACTTTCCCTGATGATGATAATAATAATAATCTTTATTTCTACAAATACATGGTACAACTTATACAGGCCCAGCTGTTATCAGTGACATACTGTATAGAAAGCCCCTGGTTATGCAGAGCATTTCAAGGAACTTGTGTTAATTTTGTCCCCAGGATGCAACCCACACCAGTCGACTAACACCCAGGTACCTACTTGCTGCTAGGTGAAGAGGGACAGCAGATGTCTGAAGGAAACACGCCCGGTGTTTCTACCCATACCAAGAATTGAACCATGGACACTCATTGATTTATGTAATTCTGCATTATGATTCCATGGCTTGATTGGTAGAGCACTCATTTCACACATTGAATGTCCATGGTTCAATCCCCAGCCAGGTGGAAACATCGGGCATGTTTCCTTACTCCTGCTGCCCCTGTTCACCTAGCAGTAAGTGGGTGTTAGCTGACTGTTGTTGGTTGCATCCTGGGGTGGTGGTAGTACGTATACCTTAGATAGAACCAGACTTTCAAATGAGCTGAGGTAAGATAACAGAACTTAGCCTATAAAACTGATCTGTGTATTAAAAAAAAAAAAGCATTCATCACAAAAGAAGAGACACCTGTATATAGTTCTAGAGTAATACAATATACAGTGGACCCCCGCATAACGATCACCTCCGAATGCGACCAATTATGTAAGTGTATTTTGTAAATCGTTTGTTGGAT